ATTCTATAGTCTTTGGACGGGAGAGATCGCTCAAAACTCTTCAGATTAATTTAGTGGAACATTAATATAATATAGAATCATCCTCTGTAAAGAAGTGAGGCGTGAACATGTGAGAATTTATCATTATCTTTGTAATTGCGCGCTCTTTTGGGCTAAAGGCTAAATGGAACCGTTTAAAGTAGCCATGTGATCACAAATTAATCGGCGATTTGGCGCAGCGCAGACGTGATTTAATATGCGTGTCCTTTTTCTATATAAATTCCAGTTTATGCTGTTTGATTATGGCTTTGAATGTCGTAGTTGGAAGCTGGAAGCTGTTAGCCCCGGCTGGCCCTTGTGCGCAGTTGAAATGCGGCTAATAATTTCTGACTGGCACATAACTGAACAAATGTAAACGGGTTAAGGCGGGGCCCCAGCCCATTCAAGCCCAATGGTAAGTCTGGCCATGGCAGTGAGGCATTCAGTGATCTGCTTTCTCTATCATGTGTTTGTATAACAGAAAAGCCAGGAGTGTGTCCAAAAACCAATCCTGAAGATGACATGATAGGAGCGTGTGTTGAGTTGTGTTCCCAAGATGGTGACTGTCCGAATGATGAGAAATGCTGCAGCAATGGGTGTGGACATCATTGTATGTCTCCATATAAAGGTATTTATATTGTTATATTAATGTGAATTAAATTAGTTCTTAACATTTTTAAATGCAGTGAGGCATTCAGTGATCTGCTTTCTCTATCATGTGTTTGTATAACAGAAAAGCCAGGAGTGTGTCCAAGCAGTAACCTAGGAGCGTGTGCTGAGATGTGTTTCCAAGATGGTGACTGTCCGAATGATGAGAAATGCTGCAGCAATGGATGTGGACATCAGTGTATGGCTGTATCTAAAGGTATGTTATACTAATTCAATGGTCAGCTTTTTTCCCCTATTACAGTGATTTGAGTCATTCAGTGATCTGGTTTCCCTGTTGTGTTTATATAACAGTAAAGCCAGGAGTGTGTCCAAGGAGATTCCTTGGAGTAGGATTGTGTAAAGGGTTGTGTGTCAATGACATTGACTGTCCGAAAGATGAAAAATGCTGCAGTACTAAATGTGGACGCAAATGTACACATCCATATAAAGGTATTCGTTATATTGGTGCTTGGGTGTGAATGTACACCTCCATATAAAGGTATTTGTTATATTGATGCTTCGGTCCCCAACACACACCGTTTTTGAGTGTTTTATCATTTTCAACGGCAAAGTAACTGAATTTGGCCCATAGCACCATTTCAAGCTCATGGCTTTTCGGAATGATTAATACTATTTGAAATACAACTTGCTCTAAAAGTAAAACTTGTTCATGCTTTCAGTGTTTTGTGATGTGTTTAGGTGTTTGAATGCATCTAAATGAACAGACTAATTCTGACTATCTGTTTTCATGCAGTGAGGCCTGGTCTATGTCTCAAACCAAATGTGTGCTGATAACTCTTCCCATGATCCGTATCCTGCCAGACAGAAGTGTTGCCCAACCACCAGTGCATGCAGCTAACCATGCCAGTTTAACCATCGGGAAAAAGTCCTCGATTGTTGGTTTTTTTTTTTTTTTTTTTTTTTT